AGGTAAGCGCTGCAAGATCTGAGGCTGGAAGGGGAGAAGTGGGTGGGAGGAACGGGGGAGGAGGCGTGGGGCAAAGTAGGACAACAGCAGAGGGGCCCCGAGGGCAGAAGGGAGACGCAGGCTGGGAGCAGGAAGTCTACGGTTGGACAAACAGGTGGGCGGAGTCCGAGAGAAAGTGACTCTGGAGAAGGGGTTGAAATGCCTGAACAGCTCATCAGGCACCAAAGACTCGCCTCTTGCAGGCTCAAGTATGGTGGCGGGATAAGAAGCAGGAGGGATTTAGGGATGGAAATATGTAGGAATGATAAAGCTTCAGAAAGAAGAGGAAGGTGGAAGGGATACTGGGCAGGACCAAGAGGTTAAGTCAGCCCAAGGGAGGGGAGAGATTTCCAAGAGAGCCACAGGGTGCTGGGAGCCTGGGGGAGCTCCATGAACCAGGCAGGGCTCCACTCTTCCTTCTTCCAAGTTACTTGAGAGGGAGCAGCAGTGAATGTAATAAATCAAGAGCTGGGGCTACCTCAGCTTCCCGGTATGTCTCCACCACTCCTTGATCAAGGCACTCAAGAAGACCCCAGCATGGAAAACCCTGAATGCTATGACTGCAGTCAAGTGTCAGATGAGACAGGCACAAAAAAAGGACCTTGAAAACCATAAGGCACGCTAAGTAGGAGGCACTGTTATTCACGAACCCTCCTACAAACAAGGCCAAGCCACTATCATGAGGAAATGAGTGTTCGTCAAATAGGGAAATTGTGTCTATTCCAAGTGAAGATGCCCCCCCCCACACTAGGAATACCAGTTATCTGACAGAACATCACATTTGATATGTTTGCTGGTCAAATATGTTTCAACATTAAAAAAAAAAAAAACCCTACCTGAGGCATAATAGGGAACTCTTAATAAACCATCACACAGGTTTATTAAAATTTATGTCTGCATCTAATGTATGTCTCCAAGGTTTTGACACATTACAGATCTTAACTAATTAGGTTAATTCCTTCAATTTGATCACTCGCCCAGTGACTTCCAAGTGCAGAGCTGTGTGCCAGCTGCTGGGGGGGGGGGGGGGGGGGGGGGGGGGGGGGGCCGCTGAGATGAGCGAGACCATCCATCCCGCCCTCCAACAGCCTGGCTCATCAGGCTTCTCAGCTTCCGTTTCAGACAGGGGCAGTGACATGTCCTTCCATACATGAAAGGAGAAAGCAACCTCACATTATGTGACCAGCCCACAACCTAGGACATGCATTTTCCAGCAACATACTAAATAAGAAAGTAAGGAAACTTCTTAAAACCTGGTGACTGCAGACACTATGTGTGTTCAATCCTGTGTCTCTCCGGGCCCAGCAGCCGTCCAACAACTCCTGTCCTAATTGCATAACCACATCATGTCATGTTGCTTCTTGTTGCAACTGTTAACTTGTAAAATTAAACTTCAGAACTGAGATAGTCAAGCTAAATAATTGCCTACTTTAAAATATGAATATATATAATTTACATGCCACTTCAGATAAGCTCTTGAATTATGATATCTGAAAGTCAAACTGTCACCATTTTGAAAAATATAGTTTCACTGTTTCAATTTTTCCTGCACTCAAGCCCTGGTTTGAAGTTTTCTAAGCAGTATTTTATACTATCTATTGCAACTTATGCTTTCCATGTTTCAACAAGAATCTATTTAAACACAAATTTTCATCCCCCATGCTATGGGGCTTTAAAATTGAAGCTCGAAGAAGAACCATGAAATAACAAAAAATGCATTGATTTGCTAAAAACATTAATAAACACTCACACTGACACAGTCTCCTGTAGCCCTCCATTCACCTTGGGAACCTTCATTAGATTCGTTTCCAAAATAATATTTTCAATATTTCTGCATTTTCATAAACCTAAGTTTTATGAAATATCTGAGTGAATTCCTATTTGTAAGATATGTGAGTTGATTTACATAGTCAATATGTTCCTGAAAGGTGGGGGTATATCAATTTTTATATCTAAACTATTTTCATGTAAACTGGTATTTTAAGTCCCATCTTCACTTCCAACTGATAGGCAGCAATGTACCATGCAGAGGGCTCACTGGAGTGCTGCCGTCCATCCACGTGCTCTCCTCATCTCTAACTCTCTGATGAGTCTGATTTCATTCCACTGTGGGGAGGTCCAGAATTAAACAGTTTAAGCCATATAAAACAAGCAGTGCCCACAATCTGAGATGTCAGCAAAACAGCAAGAGGGAAGATACATTGAAGACAACCAAAAGCAATGCCACCCGCCCCCTTCTGTTTGGTTCTAACAAGCTGGAGAAAAACAAAGTACTGTATCAGAAGACAATGAGGTTTGGACTATTTCTCTGTTAAACAGTCAGCAATCTCCTTCTATAGTCTCCCTCCAGCATTAATTAATTGTCATATTCTCTCCTTGGGGCCATTCTCAAAGAAGAGCTGGAAGGAAACTTTGAAGGACAGAGAGACCCACGATCTGTGTATTTAAATGTGTGTGCCAGAAAAGGTGCTTCATACAGTTGCAAGTGATATAACAGGTTCAAATGAAGCCTGGGATACTCAGACCCTATGGGAGTAAGTCTCCTGCTCTCTCCAGTTCTGATGGGAGGAATGGTAACATTCCTTGTCCCAGCCCCTGCTGCTGTCTTTTCTGATAAAAAAACAAAAACAAAAACAAAAAACATATCCAGTAGAAGGGGGTCTCAAAGGGCCTAGAACAAGCTGCTCTGACTATAACATGGCAGAGCTTGCCTGATCCCAAATTCAACCCAGTGCAGAGGCCCCAGCAACCTGTGAATGATGCCTTGGTACAGTGTTTTAATCAGCCACAACAAATAGCAAGAATTAATGGGCAAACTCTTGATTTATACCCTGTGCTGCTTCAAGAATCCCAGATCACCTTTGACAGTGGTCAAAAATCCTTGTAAAACAAAATAAGATGGGAGGGGAGGAAGGATGAATTACTGACTGGCTTAGAAAACAGAAATCCGTTCTCTCAACTCAAAGTGAAACTGAGTCAGCCCTGAAGAAGGAAGCTAGAACCTTCACATCCTTTTAGGATGAACTTTTTACACTGGAGGATATAAATCCTCTCTACCACCTAAGCCATAATGGAGGGGAAATATTCCCCAGATGAGATGGGCATCTAGACAACATGGGCACCTCACCCCTCCTGCAGCATCCACCAATCCCTTGTCTTCATTACTTTCCCAGCAGCCCTCTAGAGCAGTTCTCTGCTGGGTCTGCACAGCAGGAAACATTAGGGGAGATTACATTTCAATGCTGCATTTGTGATCCATGAAGTGCTAGTCCCAGCATCAGTATAATGCCTATAAATACACTCGGTTGTTCTATCACACTAGCACTTCCTACTTTATAAGCAGCAAAACAAAAATAGGTGATCAAGTCCAAATTAATTTCCATGTCTGATCACCAGCATTTCTAAACAACCAATACAGAACATGTTCTTACTGATCCTATAACTCTGCTCTAGTAGTACAAAAAAGGGGGAGGAAAAACCCCAAATTCAGCATCTTGGACCTAAAAGACCCTCAGAAACATTTTCTTCCCCCATTGGAGCTGAAGTAGCTCAGGCCCTCTCCACCCATGATTTTTCCCATCCTGGTACATCCCAAATTTACCAAAATGAAAGGTTATTCTCATTAGGCAGAAGGTGAGCCCTTGAACAGGAAGGTTCGCTACATATGTCTGTGTAATGAACTTGTCATTTCCCCAAATGGTCTAAAAGAAAAAAGAAAAACAAAAGTACTGCTTGGAATCTATGGTGTGTCAGCCCCCTCCCAAGTCTGAGTCAGAGTAAGTGTCTTCACTGAGGTTTTGGGTGATCAGGGCGTATCACTTTCAGAGTTGCTCCAATAACTGAACTTATGGCTGTCTTCCAGCCAGAGAACATAAGCTCTATCTATTTTAAAACAATTTTCCTACCCCACATGCATGGAGGTATTTCATAGGCTGTCAACTTCCTATTGGAAATAAATCACTTCTCTCTCAAACTGTGCTTGCCATCTCTCAGGATTAATGCGTGTTTATGTGGGTATATTTTTATCTTTGACCGTGCAACTCCTGGAGCAAAGAAAACCACCCCAATTTTTACCAAGATGCCTGAGCCATTCACAGCTTTAAGAAAAGAAATGAATGGGTGGTGAGAGCCCTTGAGCTCAGGGACTTCTCTCACACAAACAGTAAGTGGGGAAAGGGAAAGAAAAAAAAAATCCTTCTGTAGCGAGAGGGGGGCAGGGTGGATGATAGGGAAGGACATTAACCAGCAGACCAAAGGCAGCCGCGGCGGCCGCACTTCGCAAACTGCCTGCAGAGGGGAGTGAAATCTGTTTCGTACACAATAACCAAGCACCCTCTGGCTGCTCGAATGAGCACGAATGATAAATACACCGAGGAGGGCAAACATGCACAGAAACAAGCCACCTCGGAAAGGTCAAAACTTCAGGAACCCCGGGAATCCCACCACCCACATAAACACATCAGTCGGTACGAGCGAAGAGAAGGGACTTGGATACTTAGCAAAGGGTCTAAATTTTGTTTTTTTCTTTCCAGCTCCGGCGTGCAAAGTACAGTGCTTACAGGCAAAGCTAGAGAAGAGCAGGAAGGCTGAGGGCGGCGGGGGGTGCGGGTGGGAAGGGAGGGGTGTCTAACACCAGCCACCCAGGCCTCGATGTGACGAAAGTCGTCAGCAGCCCCAACCGCATCCCAGCCCCTCCACCCCGGCAGGCAGACGCCCCCTGCAGCTCCCCCACCCAAGCTTCCGTCCCTTGCAGCAGCCCCACCAGCCCCGCACCAGCAGCAGCCCCGGCCCGGGCACAGCGCCGGCAGCGCCACGACCGCGGTTCCCATCCCTTCCGCGCGGCAGACACCCCGCAGGCCTCCCTCCCAACCCACCCGGGGATGCCCGGGGAGCCAAGCCCAGGCGGGCAGCGGCGACAACTCCCCCCGCCCCAGGGCTGACTGGTGATGGCTCCCGCTTACCTTGGGCGCTCGCGGGGGGGCTGAAGGTGGCAAGCCTCCCGCCCCCCGCCCCTTGCCTCCTCGCCTTTTTTCTTCCTCCCTCCTCCTCCTCTTCCTCCTCCTCCCCACAGTGTGTCCGGGTCTCCCCCTCCTCCCCGCCGCTTGGAGTAACAGCAGAAAACCCCGAAGCCGGGCCCGCGTGCGTGCGTGCAGGAGGCGGCGGCGCGCGGCCAGCTCTCCAGTAACTGAGCGCGGCGCGCAGCTCCCAACTAAAGTGTGAAAGAAGCGGTGGCCGCGGCGGCCGCGGCACGGATCGTCCCCCCGGGAGTGGGCAGGGAGCGAGCGGGAGCTGGCTGGGAGCGAGCGAGGGTGGGGACCGGGAAGGAGGGAGGGAGGGGACCTCCTCGCCCAGTCACTCACTCGAGGGGCGGGGGCAGCCAGACACTCCCCCGCCGCCAGTCCCTCCCCGCGCCCGGCTCCCGCGCGCGTCCTGCTCCCCTCCTCCGGGGAGGGGCTTGCGGAGGCCGCCCGGGCGCGGCGCACTGGGGAGGCAGGGCCGGGGCGCGGGCTCGGGGGCCGCCGGAATGCAGGAGGGATATCTGTGTGTGTGTGTGTGTGTGTGTGTGTGTGTGTGCGTGTGCATGTGCGTGTGTGTGTGTGTTTGCGCGCGCGCGCTCGCGCGGGGAGGCCAACTGGAGAGGAGACTCGGACTGCAAAGCTGTGTCCCTGTGGCCTTCCTGGGCCTGTCATTTGGGTGGTAACGTGGGAGCCGAGGGACTGCTCGCGAGCCCGCGCGGGCGCAGCTCTGCGGGAGATCCGGGTCCAGCGCGTGGCTGTGCCTGGTGGCAGCAGTCGGGGGAAGAAGGCTGGGCATCCTCGGCCTGCGCGCGGCTCCTCCCCTCCCAGGCTACGCTGGACCTGCGGGCGCAGCCAGCCTCCCCGGCCCCGCCAACCGACCGCCTCCACCCTGCCCCGAAGCTGCGGCGCCTGCATGATGAACGAAGCACCGGCGACTGGGTGGACGCTTCGCTGGAAGGCAAGACCGGAGCCCCGCGCCCTTCTCCCCTTGCTGGCCTCCTAGGACCCAAGGGCTGGGGCCGCGCCTGCTGGGGGATGGCTTGGGGTCTAAAAATATCACAGTCCACCACTTCATGCGTCCAGTTCTTTGCGGCATCTCACCGAAGGTCAACCAATTTCCTACTCTCTGGAAAAGCGTGTTTTTCTCCTCTTCCCGGCACGCTGGGTGTTTGATGTGAGCCCTGAATTGATCTCCCTGCACTGATAGCCTTGGATGTCTTTTGTGCTGCTTCCCCCCGCGCTTCACTGCTCCTTGATTGCCTTAGACACGCGAGGAATGTCAGGCCCCCAGAGTGAGGACACCCAAGAAAACAATAGAGGCAAAAGGTCCTCCGAGGACCTCGCGGATTACTCACAAACCCAGTTTCCCACGTTTGGCCAAGATGAAGTTGGAAAGTGGAAAGAGACACAGAGCAGTGGCAGTGATGAGACACTTAATTGAAAAGCGAATTCATAATTCAGCTTAATGAAATGACTTAGTAATCACCCATTAATGTCTAGGAAATTAGCTTTTTTTTTTAAATGGTCTTCCCGTTTTCCATCTTTTTATCAGCCTGAAGGGCTAGTGTCACATTGTTCCTGAAATTAAACTTGGATATTGTTTGTTATTATTATACATATTCTAGTTTATTTTTTCTTTGTAACCCGAATTCTTTGTAGTGTAGCCACTTGAAAAGGAGTGGTTAAGAGGGGAGAGTAGACACATTTGGGTTTCAATCCGGGCTGGCAGCCACCATCCCTGTTCCCATTGGTAACTTGTTTGATATCTTTCCCTCTTTTTCCTCATCTGTAAGATGGGATTGATAACTAGTAGATCCTTCTTCACAAGGTTGTTGTGAAAGTAAATGAAAGATAAAATGAGGTGGCAGTGATGTAAGGCACTTTGCATTGTGCCTGACTCATGGTAAGACATCAGTAAATAGAATTTTGAAATATTATTATATTATTAATGATAATTATTGTTATTTCAAAGATACATTTGAACCTCAAATTTGGAGTACTTTTTTCCACCCCCCCTCACCATGTTCCCTCTTAAAGTAGAAGGGGAATTCCTGCTGAATTTATCCAAATACAGTCAACCTCTTCCTGGGGTTTGTAGGCCATGCCTAAAAACTTCTCCTGTGATGAAATAAATAATGTGTGTGCGCATGCCTCTCTGTCTGTATCTATATATGAAGGGAACTTTGAGTACAACACACCCTGTTCTTTCCCTCCTCTCTCTTTCTCTCATCTGCGTAGACCACCCTGAATGGACCAAGCTCTCTACTATTGACCCGTGTTAAACTCTGAAGAGATTCAAGGCTCAGACAGTGATTGGCACCATAGATTTCTTAAGGGTCTCCTTTTACTTGATATCTTCAGAAGTAGAAGGCCAGAGAACAAGCACTGCCTACCTGTGTAGATGAAAGTCTATCCCTACTGTGAACTTTTAAAGCTAGTTTTTATATTATTCAATATACTACGTGTTCGTGGTGGAAATTTTTGTTAATGTGAAAAGCTCAGCTAAGTCTGAAGAGAATTAAAAATCATCATAATTCCTTTATCTAGAGAAGCATTCAATATGTGCTTCAAGTGTATTCATTTTCCCTTCTCTTACTTCTTGCCATATTGTATGCTGGGGATTAAAGCCAGGGCCTCACTCACACTTGCTAAGAATGTGATCTACCACTGAGCTCCAATCCCAGCCCAGCAAACATTTATTAGGCACCTAGGTGGAAAACAATTTACCAGGTCCTGGACAGATTGTACTTTGCTTGTATTGTTTCTTTCTCAGAGAAACTATTCTTTAAAAGCAACATTTTATATGATAGTGAGGTTCTTAAAATACTCTACAGAAGTACCCAGCAGAGCTTAAAGGACTTGAAACTCAGGGAGCTGACTTAAAAAAAAGGCGAAAGTCTGAAACTTCTGTGGAGGGGCTCATGTACATGATGGTTACAAAACAAGCCACATTGGCCTATTTGTTAGACAGGAATTTCTCTCGAAATTAACTGCTTTGATAAGTATTGTTTCAATGTGAAAACTCATTCTGGGAATCCCGGGGATCCCTTTGCTCCCTTCCCTGACAAATTTAAGCCATGGGAGAGGACTCCCACCATCACCGCGCACTTTCTCACACCCAGCCACAGCAGGGACAGTGGACCTCGGTACTTCTTCAAGGGATGTGGAAAAGAGAGAGGGAAGAACGGAGGGAGGTGCAGACTAGTGGACATCTGTATCTGCCCTCCCCATGAAGCAGGAGCAGTGGCAAATCTCCTTGGTCAGCACAGGCTGAATCTGCTCCATGTTTTATTACAAAATAAACTTCCTAATGAGCCAGAATCATTAAGTTGACCATAAACATATTTACTTAAAAAGAATGAAAACCAAATGTTTTCTTGGCCTTGTCACCTCTTTGACTTTCCATACTGTCAGAATCTCTAAATATCTTCAAACACTATAAATACAGCTTTCCAAAACAGTATTCTCCTTCCCCAGCAAAGTTACATTTTAATCTTCAAAGATACCCTTATCATCATAAATTTTCTCTTATTCCTAAACATTGTGCTTATATTTTGCTCCTAAATGCTTGGTCCTATGAAACCATTTATAGCACATCAGTTTCATTTTTTTCTTTTCTTTTTCCTTTTTTTTTTTTTCCTTTTCAGTAGTGAGATGGAACCTAGGACCCCGTATGTGCTAGGCAAGAACTGGACCGCTGAGCTATACACCTGGCCCTGTGCGTTTATTTCTTTTTTTTTTTTTTTTTTTTTTTGTTACCAAGAATTTTACCCAGGGATGCTCAACCATTGAGCCACATCCCCAGCCTTTTTTATTTTATTTTTTTGTTTTGAGACAGGTTCTTGCTAACTATGTCGCTTAGGGCCTAGTTGCTGAAGCTGGCTTTGAACTTGTGATCCTCCTGCCTCAGTCTCCTGACCCGCTGGGATTACAGGCATGTGCCGCCAGGCCTGACCCCCTGCTCCTTATTTTTAAGTATAATTGTTTGTTTGTTTGTTTGGTACTGAGGATTGAACCCAGGGGTGCTCAACCTCTGTACCACATCCCCATCCCTTTTTCATATTTTAGAGACAGGGTCTCACTGAGTTGCTAAGTGCCTTACTAATTTGCTGAGGCTGGCTTTAAACTTGAAATCCTCCTGCCTCAGCCTCCTGAGCTGCTGGGATTACAGGCATGCGCCACCACTCCCAGCTTAAGTATAATGTATTATGGACTGAATAGCATATCTGTTTCATTTTTTTCTTTTCTTTTTTTTTTCATTCTTTTTCTTTTCTCCCCAAAATTCATCCATTGAAGGCCTAACCCGCAATGTGATGGTATTAGGAGGTCAGACCTTTGGGAGATGATTCGATTTAGATGAGGTCTTGAAGATGGAGTCTTCCTGATGTGATTGGTGCCCTGAGAAGAGCCAGAGAGTTTCCTCCCTCCCATTCCCTATGTGAGAACATGGCAGGAAGACAGCCATCTCATCCCTCAAAATCTGACCAGCTTGGCACCATAATCTTGGACTTCCACAGCGGAGAAAAATAAGCTTCTATCATTCAAGTGACACAGTCTGTGCTGTTCTGTGGCTGGAGCCTGTGCTGCCTAAGACATTGGAGCAGTGGCAAATCTTTGTCTCTAAAAGGAAAACAGAGGTTTACTGAAGAAAGGTACTAAAAGGAATAGACTGCTCTCCTAGAGCTTCCCATATAAATCTGAATGAATTCGTTTTGCCTGGTTTATTTTTAAAAGGTTTTCCAATACGGTTAATTTTTCTGAATAATGATATTAAAAGTGGCTTTGGCGGGGTGATCCACACCTGTGATCCTACGATACCCGGAACGTGCCCTGTTCGTTTTTGCTCCATGCTGCATCAGGAATGGCAGTGGGTCATTCATAACCCGCGTGGACCAACTCACTGTGTCTTCCCAGCATCACAGTCAGACGGACGCTCATGCCATCAACACTCCTATGCAGGCGTGGAAATGGAGGCCCACAGCGGGAGGGGAATCAGCACCAAGCCAACTGGTTGATTCTTATTAATCAGATGCCAACATTTTAATTATTTACAAACATATTTTCTTTTCAGTCTTCTTTGCTTTTCTGCCTTAGTTTTATTTATCTTTCAAGGCTATGTTTAAACTCTTAATTGTTTTGTTTTGTTTTTAGTACTGGGGATCCAACCTAGGGGTCCTTTACTGCTAAGCTACATCCCCAGCCCTTTCTTAAAATTTGAAGCAGGGAGTTGCTGAGGGTCTCCCTGAGTTGCTGAGGCTGGTCTCAAACTTGTGATCCTCCTGACT